CTGTTGGGCAGCTGGGGACCTATTCTAACCCTTCCAAAGTAACATGAAGACACAGCCTTCAACACGTTTAGTATTTTAAGGCTAAAGACCCTAAGGTTTAGCTGTGTCCAGAGATCAGTCCATTATGTCCAGCTGTCGGACATCGAATAACACTAGCCAAGTTTTTGCCCCATGTTCGATAACACTAACTTTACAAAAAAAACTGACAAGTTAAAATTCTTACTGTTTCTTGTTCTACCCCCAGAAAAGGAGAATTTCCTCTTATCCTGGAACTGGAGCCACTTAGTATAACATCCTAGAAAACTTGATTTTTAACTTTTCACACTTAGACAACTTCAGTATTATTTCCTAACCCCAAATTCCAAATTATCCTTAACCACAACCATCAGCAAAAATAATTTCATTCTTTGAAAGAGCTTTATCTAATTTTACCTGAGCAACTGGCTAACTTCTAGTATTCATTTTCAATATAGTCTTCCAGGAGTCGGATTACTGATAATAAGTAGTGAAAGCCTACATTTGTACAGTGGAATAAGTTGCCAGAAGAAACAGGTGCTCCTAGATACCTCATTTGCAGTCACGTCAATAAATTTAAATGCAGCCACAACAAAATATTGGATTTCAATCTCTTCCATAACAGCCAAACAAGAACTTAAGAGGGTACAGTGCACAAAACAATTCCACAAATCCTGAACAAAGTACAAATGACTATTTGTAACAGTAAGTAATATCAGCTTTCAGCTGCTCACCTGAAATGTTTATAAATGAAAGTACATAGTGACCTGATGTGATGGATGGCATGTATTGTGCGCCTTCGATACAAATATGACAATGAGGGAGGTAATAACGTGTCCAGGATTCCAAACTGCCGGTAAGTGCCCTTGGCAGACAATTTGGAAAAAAAATGTTATTTTGCTCAAATAGGTCAGTGAAACACAAGTCACTCCTGCAAAGCCATGAAATTATTACACAACATTAAATGGGTATTTTGTAATTACAATTTAGGAGATTTTACTGACATTTGCTGCGGACTGGGGCCAAATATGGTCCTCGGAGCAGATCTTGATAAATCCCTGGTGCCATTGATAGAAACATGACACCTAGGGCTGTAATGATTCAGTTAATAATCAGTAAAGGTTCATCCCCATGACAATGTGAGGCCATGTGTTTATACAAAACAAGTGGGACAGTATTTTGAAAATTAGATGTACATTTGTCACTTTCTTTTTACCCTCAAAATAATATATGCATTACAAAATTGAAATGTGTAATTCGTACATCATCCCCCAAAACACAAAACCTGGAGGACTTAGTTGTCTGCCAAATATAACAAATGTTATATTTAGGATAACATTTTCATAGTAAAATACAGATTCTAGTACTTTTGGGTTGAGTCCATCCGGATTTTGAACCCACACTTGTGGTACCGTCAGTGGCTGAGTGGGTTAGATCGCGGACTTTGTGTTCTGACGATTAGGTACCTCACTCAAGGAGTGTGGGTTCGATTCCCAGATGGGACTCAACCCCTAATATGTCAGAATATGTACTTTACAAGGAAAGTGTTATCCCAAATATATCATTTGTTACATTTGACCACTTTCTAAATGGTAGTGTGTGTTCACTGCCAAAAATGTCAAAATCTCTCACATTCAGCCCTTGTTAACAGCTGCAAACTACACAGGGTTTTGTGTCTCGCGTTGTATCTAATATTGCTACAATCTTAATACACTGTCCGAAATAACTGCCTGCCCGCCTTTTCTGTCAGCCTGCATGAAATTTTCTTCCACCTGCCCGACGGTCTGGCTGAGAATTTTAAGACGATTTAGTAACATATTCAGTTTTATTATCTTTGAGTGAGTGAGTATGGTTTTACGCCGCTTTTAGCAATATTCCAGCAATATCATGGCGGGGGGACACCAGAAATGGGCTTCACACATTGTACCAATGTTGGGAATCGAACCCGGATCTTCGGCATGACGCGCGAACGCTTTAACCACTAGGCTACCCGACCACCCCTTTATTATCTTTGAAGATGGGCAGGCAACATGTACGGGTCACCTGCCCGACTGACTTGTTGGGTTTTAATATTATTTCAGACATTACAAGCTTGGAATCTGGACAATTTGTTACAGCCCTCATATAAACATGTCAGAACAATGATCCTGAAAAGTATGCAGATGATGGGTGATGGCAAACTAATGGAAACAAATGTTATATTTGGCATAACACTTTCTTAGTAAAGTACAGATTCTCGTACTTTTGGGGGTTGAATCCCACCCACACTGCCAGAGTGAGGCACCTAATCGCCAGTACATGATCTAGACTACCAGTTGTCGGACTATCATTTTGTGGAAGCCTCAGTGGCTGAGTGGGTTAGATCGCTGACCTTGTGTGCTGATGATTAGGTGCCTCACTCTGGCAGTGTGGGTTCGAATCACGGATGGGACTCAACCCAAAAAGTACAAGAATCTGAACTTTACCAAGAAAGTGTTATCCCCAAAATAACATTTGTTACATTTGACCACTTTCTAAATGGCATTGCGTATTCATAATGGAAACATGGTCAGTAAAACAATTACCAAGAACTAACAATCCGGGCAAGGACACTACACGGATGGACGATGAACAAACCCCACAAGGACTTCGCAAAATGGCTGAAGAAATCCCCTTGTAAGTAGATGTGGAAAGGTACAATGATATTTCAGTGCTCCTTTTCAACAACCAATGAAAGACAGTATGAAGCCATGAAAATTAAAAAACTGTATACCATTATCCTGTAAATTGCATTTTTTAGGGTGACCAATACTTCTTGGCTATGCCTGGCTAAAACTCTGTTTGTAATATTTTATCATGAACATCAAAATTGTGCTTACTTTGGAGTTGTCTTTCCTTGCATACATTTTCTCAACATGGGTGCCCACAAGTCTGAAGAAGGTTTACACCCACTAAGAGAAACTCTGAACCTGATGCACAAAATGATCTTAGTGCTAAGGTGATCGTAACTCCCATACTCAAACATAGGCTTACGATAATCGTAGGTATAAGATCGCTTTGTGCAAGTGGGCCCAGGGTGCCGTTGTACAAAGTGACCTTAGCGCTAAGATGATCGTAACTCCCATACTTAAACATAGGATTACGATAGTCGTAGCGCTAAGATCGCTTTGTGCAAGTGGGCCCAGGTCACTGTGCAAGTAAATGCCTGATGAAAACAAATAAAATGGTTCTGCCTTCGACACAAATGTGCAGACAGTACACACAGTTAACATAAAGATAGTTACACAAGATGTTATCAAGATATATACATGTATATCTAAAAACGAAATCCATCAAGGATATGTAGATTTACAATTATTTACTAATGGCATTTATGGACTGATGATGAAAGTAAGATGGTATTTGGACAAAGTAACCAAACCTGCCAAGTTTATCACAATCCAACAGTCCAGGGTGTTGTTGTACAAAACAACCTTAGCGCTACTACTGTCATAAGTCTATGTTAAGGTATGGGAGTTACGATCACCTTAGCACTAAGATTGCTTTGTACAACAGTCCAGGTGAAGTACATGATAGAACACCATGAGAATACAGGCTACCTTATGATCAGTGCATCCTACAAGACCATAGCACTACTTCCGTCGTACCCAACAATCTGATACACATGTAAGATGGTTGTAATCATCGGGCTATGACGGTCACGCCACCAAAATGTATCACTGACTTAAGATAATGACTTAAGCACTATTCAACCTTGACTTCTGATATTCATAGCACTATGATCTATTTGTGCCCGATGCTTGTAACCACTACATAATGCTGCTTTCCTGAAAACTGCCCCCCAACACTATATGTACTGACACTAGCATTCACAAACCATCCACACCCGGAAGCATGTTTCATGCAGTGTTATCCCTTTAAACTCAAATTTCTATCTTCAAAATATATTTAGTCTAAAATTGAAAGCAATAAAAACTGCAATCTAGATTTCTTGTGGGTATTTTGTATGAGTAGAAATTAAGGGATGCTTGAATGCACCTTTTACCACTAGATCTGTATTTACCAAAAAATTGATACCTTTTCAGTTTATCTTGTCTACTTAAACTAAATCAATGACTCTTAAGAAGCATGTGAAAGATGCCTTATGTCCAATCAGTAAACTTGTGAAATCTAAAGCTATGCCTATATGGCCATGTCGTCATGGTAACCATTACCAATTCATGCATATTTTCCCGTACTATCTCCAAGCATATTCATGCCTTCCCAAGTATCTAATGCATTACAGAATGTTCAATGTTCAACTAAGGCACTACAACCCAAACAGAATGGTCTTGTTAAGCCTCCTATTTGTTCTATTGACAAAAACAAAATCTTGTCATCCACATAACCATGGTAATCATGCCAGAGAACCAAGAACAGTCTGTTACTTTAGCTCTACTCCCATTCATATTTCATTTATTCAATCTAATAAGCTCAGCTGATATTATGTACGTCTTTCTTAAATCGAAAGAACTGTATTCCAAAAACGCGTTTGGGCAAGAAGATTTAAAAGTTTTAAGTTTGAAGAAAATAATTTTGGAGGCTACTCTACTGTCCTTGGATTCAGTGAGTTTGGGGTTATCTCTGCTTTGAAATTAGCGAGCAAGATTACATGAACGCAGTTTTAAAGTTAAACATTACTTCAGTATACCAAGGCATGTCTCCTTCATTTTGTAGGATTCAGGTCTTTCATCGCAACCACAGGTACAGACAGTGCTGACAAAACACATATTCCTGAGGCAAGTGCGTTAACTGACTATAAAAGTCCAGTTTTCACCCTTGCCGAACTGGGCTGGAATTTCTTGGCTCAATCGTCACCAATTGCTACTACGAGTTAAGTTCCTTCAATGTCCCTCCCACTGACCAATCAGATTCGACCTCTCATATCACATGCATTTGCTTCAAACAAAATGGCGGCACCCAGTCAAGACGATCTGATTGATAATAAAGATCTATATTGTAATAAAAGTGGTCTTACCTCGCAAAGTGCATGAAATCACTTGAGCACCTTGATTAAAAACATGAAAACATTTGGAAAATATCTGTTGACAGTACACATGCTTTGCAAATCCTGCAGTTGACCGAAATCTGCAATTTGAAATCCATGCCCGGATGACTAGTTCGTAACACGATTATGATTGGACTATGCATAGACTCTTTAGTCCAGCCAAACTGTAACTCCAGAATTCCAGCCCAGTTAGGCAAGGATGGAAACTGAGCTTTTATGGTCAGTTAACACCCTTGCCTCGGGAAGATGACAAAACATGGAGAATAATCCGCTTGAGTCCAGGATTTAAACTCACGATCAAGGCCACTAAGGGACACAACTCTGTACAGCACCCTACCCTTCTATGACTGAGTCAACAGAAAATTATTGTTAATATCAACGAGCGCATCTCATCAATGATAAAGGCTGGCTGCATTTTCTAACAAGTTTCCAAACATGGTACAAATAAGGTCCATTTTATCAAAATACATCACCATCCACATTGTGGCTCACAAACAATCCTCACAATGACGATGCCGTGTCATAACGTTCTAAAATAATCTACCGGTAAATACCATATATTGAGAAATATTTCTGAGCAAAAAAGGTGTAATCCCTAAGCTTAGCTGTAGGTTACAAAGCACTTATGTCACAATATATATCTAGCCATGTCTTTAATATTTGACTATCAGTGGACCAAAAACTGGACCTGTCAATGGCGCTTCCTTTCTTACAGCACTCTATAGACATTTTCATGGAAAATGTTCCAAGTCTTTGCAACACCCGACAATCAGGTTCATGTACCTAACTTGACTTGTACTCATCCAGATCTTCCAAATCAATGTGGTGGCCTGAGTTACTATAGTTTGACTGTGCCGCCATTGTGGCCTGTTTAATGGCAATCCGATATGGACCACGCTTTTTCTTATTAAAGCGGAGCTTAAAATCCTCCAGAAATGGAAAAAGTTCTGAGCACTGCATATGCGACATAGTTGACGAGCCGAACCAGGTCACATGGGCTATTTGTGCGATGACGACACCACTGTCTTTCTGAGTGACTGTGATGGAGAGAATCCTCCCTGGCCACCACGGAAAGCCCTGAATCTTCCCCCACACAATGTCCCCCACATGAAGCTGCCGACCCGTCTCCGTCACACACTTCACCACTGTCTGGGTCTGAATTTTCATCATGAGCGGTTTCATGTTTTTCACATCTGAATCTGTCTGTGGCTCCTCCACACTGAGTTCCCCCATCATGGTGCCGAGCCCGGGCGGGCCATACGACAGACCATCATGCAAGTCAGTCGGGTCATCTGAGGGTTCACTCGCGGAACTTATCGGACTGTAGGGACCTACTCCAACAATCATGGGAGGCGGGGAATCCTCGTATGTTAAAGATGGCTCTGGGTTCGGAAACCTTTGTTCCACAGGGAATTGTTCGACTTCAGGGAAGTGTTCTTCTGGCGGAAACCGTTGTTCTGGCACAAAATTTTCTTCAGGAAAATTTTCCTCAACTGGAAATCTTTCTTCTGGGGGAAATCTGTCATCTTGGTGAATTATTTCTTCGGGAGGAAATCTTTCTTCCGAGGGAAACCTTTGTTCAGGGGAAAATCGGAATTCTTTTGGACTTGCCTCCACACGTGAAAGACCTCTATTGTTGTTCCATGTGTAGAGTAATCGTGGCCGTGGATGTCGAACCTCTTCTTGAGTTGGCACCGAGTTCTCATTGTCCTCATCTTCTCCATTGCTAATCTGATCAACCCAATCACTGATACTTTTGTTTTCCATTTCCAAGGATTCTTTGTCTAAAGAATCTTTGTCAAAAGTTTCCTTCAAATCTTTCTCTTCATTAGCATTCCAGTCATTAATAATCACATTTGTGTTTGATTCCAGCGGACGACTCTCATACGGACTAAGATGGCGATGCTTGTGTTTCCGTTTGTGCTTCCTATGATGTTTATCTGATTTTTCATCCAAACTCTGCGCTCTGTTTTCATGGTCACCTGACTTGTTTCGCACTCTTTCCTTTGACTTTTTCATGGCCTTTTTCAGTTTCTTATGCATAACATAATTCCTATTTTCTACTGGAGGATCGACATGCTTTTCTTGAATTTCTTCCGAGCTGCTTTCCACATGATCATCAATTTCAGCACCAGGTAGACGGGGAGGTATTTTGAGCACAGCCCCATCTCCAAAGGATATCTTTATAATAGGTGTCGCTTTTGGATTCAGAGCTTTTGTTCCACAATCACTTTGTACTTGAGTTTTAAGTGTAGCACTGTCGACTTCATCACTCTGCTCCGGCAGCTCAGCTTCTCTCTGTGATCTACTTTCAACATTCTGAGCCCCACTTTGAGCAGCCTTTGTTTCATTTCTAACATCCTCTAATTTATACAATCTTACTTCAGGAAATGACTCTTTTGCCTGGGCAATCTTATTGTCCACAGAACTACGTGTTTGTCTCTCTGGCCTCTCTCGTGTTTTCGCACTTGTAGATTTTGCAGGTGCAGGTTTTTTCACCTCATTTTCATTTGTTTCTTCTTGTTGATATTTTCTTTTTCTCAAACCCCATTTCAATGTGACCATCGGCCGATTTAAATGTCGTGAAGGACTCAGCTGAGGCTTTGTGATGTTCGTAACTGGTTTCGATTGTTTCGGGGAGGAAGATTTCACGGCTGACACTTTTCCATTTTCATGGATCATGTTTTTACATTTAGAACACAGAGTCTGACGGGGTCTAAGGCGAATATCACGCACTGCTTTGCTGCGAACTGGTCGCAGACTGCCTTTAGGATGCACCAACACAACTTTATCTGTCAATGAAACTGGATCATTGTTGTATGTGAATCTGTGTGTAGATGCTGACACACTAATTTGTCCATTTTCATTTTCTCCAGCCTCATTTGAGGTGCTGTTGACGCCTTTTTCTGCAGATTTATCAGGAGTTTTGGGTAATGAAGAGAAGCAAACGCCGTGAGGAATGTTTCTGAAATAAATGAAAACAATGAACTTGAAAATCGGTCATTATTTGTTGACAAAATGCCTAAAATTCTAAATCCAGTTTGACAGATGAGTAAAAAATCGGTCACAAATTCCGTATTTTTGACCAACTTTAACGCATGATTTTAGGCATACCTCTTACTGCAATCCAATAATACTCCACGAAATTCTTTATTTCCACTTTTCAAGGTCACAATTATAACATCATCTAATGCTTCTTCGATCAATACAGGCACTTTATCCCCTTTCGAAATGCGGTGGTGTTTCCGTTTTAGGTCGGCCATATTCTAAGGGGATTTTCGCCATTAGCAGGTACTTGGTACTAGTACCCTAACAACAAGTCTTAGTCCATTGAGGCCCTGAAGTGAGTTGCTGAACGCCGGTCAAATGTCTGTCTCAAGTTAACACATTGATAGGATACTTGATATTCATAATTTTGACAGTTAAATCCTGCCAATATACAGCACCTGTGCAAATTGCTTAAAATAAGGCTGAAAAAATGAAATTGCAGCGAAGATGAAAACTATAAACAATCAGTCCCTATATTGAGAGCTTTTCACAGACAATTAGGTTCCTATTTATTGCGCTTCTGTTTTGATTCAGTTTTGTACTAGTTTTGACATTTTAAACATTGGCAACTTCGTCGACGTCTGATTTAAACTATAACTGATTTTCGAAAACTTGTCATTTTAGGGGGGAAAAAGAATATATTATCCACAGGTTTTGTCACTTTTGTGCATGTGACAAACGACGCATTCAGTGAATTGTCAGTGAGAAGAAACACATTTGAAGAAGAGGTCGTAAAGTTTGTTTGATAATTTATCGAATGCGAAAATCGAACATTATTTAAGATCGAAACTATTCTTAACTTTCGAATCGTTCGATCGACATGAGAAAACATCCAATGAGTATAATTTTCAACTTATTTCTGTCCGCGTGTATATTTGACGGATCGTGAAGAAAACTTTGTACATTGTATACCATCAAACCTCAAAAGGTGTTTTTTTCCCTTTTTAATCTAATACAACGACAGATAAAATTCAATTTGTTAACCTATTGTTTTGCTTGGGTATCTTGCAATAAAATGTGAAACAAATATATGTCATAGGCTATTATGAAGTGTTTGTAAAACCCTAAAACAATAACACTAATTTTAATTTTAGAATAAATTTTAATCAATCGGTATCATATCACATTGTACTGCTTTCAGGGTTTGGTAGAGTGCATTTGAAATGCCTAACTTTGTAACATAACGAATTATATTACACTTTACTTAACTGATTTCATCTAAAAAACGAATAAATAAACATTTTTTTGGATCCGAGGTTATCCGAAAATAGTTGTTTATATAATTTTAGATGGCACTCAGAAGTAGTTGTGTTTAAAGTAGTACAATTTAAGAGATCGTTGGTTCTGATTTTATAGCTCATAACACACTTCCTGGCGACTTTTGAACAATCTAATTGTGGTTATTATTTTATTTAATTGTCAGTCCTACACTAGGGCGTATTAGCAAGTCTTTTTTACGTCAGATTTAGTTTGTAAACACGTGGGAATTTCCAGCTGAGAAAGCCAAGGGACGTAACTCTTTGAATATAAACATTAGCTGGAAACTCAAAAGCATCGGTTATATTTCAGGTTCGAATCTCAACATGCCGAGGTACGCACGATGAAAAGGCATAAATAACACGTATGAACATGTTTTCTTTTTGTGTGTGTTTTATTAATGTTTTAGTTCGTTAGAGGTTATAATGAAGTTAGCCTTTAGATTGGTTGGTTGGTTGGTTTGTTGTTCAATGCCACACACAGCAATATTACAGCTATATGACGGCCGTCTGTAAATATTCGAGTCTGGACCAGACAATTAAGCAATTGATATCATGAGCATCGATCCACGCAATTGGGATCAATGACATTGATCAACCATGTCAGCGAGCCTGACCAACCGATCCTGTCAGTCGCCTCTTAAGACAAGCATAGTCGCCTTTTACGGCAAGCGTGGGTTGCTGAAGACCTATTTTACCCCGGATCTTCATGGGTCTAGCCTTTAGAATGGAAGAAAGAAACAAAAAAACAACAACTATAGTTATTTTTCTTAAAGTTGGTTATCTGAAAATACTAAAAATTATATAAAGAGTAAAGACAAAACAAAAAAGTCATCTTAAAAAGAAATTTTTATTTCAATAAAATCAGTCGTGACATTTCAGAATAACTCTTTACATGATACATGTATATGGACGATCAACCTCTTTGTTACAGGTGTAGCTTGAACTAGTTTCAGTGCAGGTTCTAACACTTTTATCAAGAAAGTCATTTGACCCAGAGATCACTGAAGAAACAAGTGCAAGACTCCAGAATCTCAATATTTGATGAAGACTGATTTACGCAGGGCACACAGTCACCATCTGAATGAAACTCTTACAAAATGAAAAGATCAGCCTCAGTTATCTTGTGTTGGATATATCCATTCTAGGATAATACTCTAGACCATTTGCTAAACAGACTTGAGTCTGATTCCATTGACACAATGCTAACAATAGATAGACACAATGCTAACAATAGATAGACACAATGCTAACAATAGATAGACACAATCCTAACAATAGATAGACACAATGCTAACAATAGATAGACACAATCCTAACAATAGATAGACACAATGCTAACAATAGATAGACACAATGCTAACAACAGATAGACACAATGCTAACAACAGATAGACACAATGCTAACAATAGATAGACACAATGCTAACAATAGATAGACACAATGCTAACAATAGATAGACACAATCCTAACAATAGATAGACACAATGCTAACAACAGATAGACACAATGCTAACAACAGATAGACACAATGCTAACAACAGATAGACACAATGCTAACAATAGATAGACACAATGCTAACAATAGATAGACACAATCCTAACAATAGATAGACACAATGCTAACAATAGATAGACACAATGCTAACAATAGATAGACACAATGCTAACAACAGATAGACACAATGCTAACAATAGATAGACACAATGCTAACAACAGATAGACACAATGCTAACAATAGATAGACACAATGCTAACAACAGATAGACAGAATGCTAACAATAGATAGACACAATGCTAACAATAGATAGACACAATCCTAACAATAGATAGACACAATCCTAACAATAGATAGACACAATGCTAACAATAGATAGACACAATGCTAACAACAGATAGACACAATGCTAACAACAGATAGACACAATGCTAACAATAGATAGACACAATGCTAACAATAGATAGACACAATGCTAACAACAGATAGACACAATGCTAACAACAGATAGACACAATGCTAACAATAGATAGACACAATGCTAACAACAGATAGACACAATGCTAACAACAGATAGACACAATGCTAACAACAGATAGACACAATGCTAACAATAGATTAAAACGACATAATAGATTCATATGCCAGAAAAAGATTGTGCTATTTGTTATTTGTACTGTACATTTGCCTTCATTCAATTATCTGCTTGTTATCTATTTCCGTTGTTGTCAATGTTAACCTGCTGCTTATCACATGTCCTGCATATATACCTCTCATCACTTAGTTGTAGTCAGTCCAGCTTGATAACGGTGTAAGAATCTACATTGAAACGTCACTATATGCAATAAACCAGAAGTTGTTATCTTACTTATTTGCAAACTTCTAGAATGCCAATTAACAGTTAGATTGACACGCTAGAAATGGATTGAAAAAACAAACAATAGATTGACACATAGACTAACATCTAGTCTCTGAAATGAACACATCTTACATAAAAAAAGCAGTTGTTCAGTTATCTTAATAAAAATATAATAATAATGAGCCCAGTGACTTTTCATTTTCAGATACTGATACTGCAGTGATCTAGACTTGCCAAACATTATAGACTTGCTTGGGCTGTATTTGATATATATTTGTATCAGGGTCTGTAAGACAGACTAATTGACACAATGCTATAACAAGTAGATTCATACAACGCTTACAATAGATTCACACAATGATAACTTTTTTTTTTAATAACACATTAATGTTCATGAGATGTTTATCCTGGATGTATGAATCTGGGTTAACACAGCTTTAAACAGTACTCCAGATGACTGGGCCACTGGTTTCCCCTTATACTGGGTGTGGTGTGGTGTGGTGTGGTGTGGTGTGGTGTGGGTGTGGGTGTGGGTGTGGGTGTGGTGTGTGGGGGTTGCCAAGTGGTTGAAGTGTTCCACGTCATACTAAAGGTCTAGGTTCAATTTCCCTCAAATAGGTACAATGTGTGAAGCTCATTTCTGGTGTCCCCTGCTGTGAGATTGCTGGAATATTGCTAAAAGTGGCGTAAAACTACATGGGTAGAATTTGTAGTGTTATTTAGTGTCATTTTTGGTGTCACAAATTCAACCTGAAGCTAAACTTGTTTAGTGTTTCTCTGTAACTTGTCAATGATGCAAAATATATACATCAAAATCAACAGTAACAAGAAGATATATTACACGGTGTCTGAGTAATGTGAGAGAAGAGCACTCTGTGGTAAAGAAGAGATCAGCAATGGTATGGTGCAGACAAACCACTCCAAACTTGGCAATGCTGGGATTTGAAACAACACTCCTGCACAAAAAGCTCCATGGTCTTAGAGGTGAGGTGAAATGGGCTTAAACTTTGCTGCCGAGATTATTGCACTTATACAGCAACATGCATGCATGTGTGGGAGTGTGTGTGTGGCTGCTTGTACTAGTCCAGACTGATGCCGATTTATAGCCCTAGGTCACTGAGATACCATGCCGCAGTTTAACATGACTACCCAACTCAGACACAGTATACTGACTCAAAGCTGACTAGTCCTTGTTTTAGCCCCTTAATGCAGAGTGCCAGACAGGGTAACAACAAGTACCATCTTTTAACGTCTTTTGGTATGACACGGCCAGGGATCGAACCCCAGACCTTCCGCTCTCAGGGTGGATGCTCTACCACTGGACCACAGAGGAGATCCATGGTCTCAGACCATGGAGTCGATTGTTGTGACTAAGGTAGGTTCTCATTAGGCCACAATAAACTGATTATTCTAAAATGAGGGTGAAAATGATGACAGTTTCACCTCATCATTGCACGTCCCCAAGTTAGATCCATTTCTCTGTAGAGAGGCTTCCTCCACCGACCAGTGTACACCAGAAGTTTGTCAGGACAACTTCACACAGGTCAAAACCTCCTTCACTCACTCACTCAGTACAGCTTACAGAATAATCTCAAATGTTGGGACCCGTGAAGGTCTGGGGTGAAACAGGTCAACAACCCATTCTTGCTGTAACAGGCAACTATGCTTGTTGTAGACGTCGACTAACGGGATCGAGTAGTCAGGCTCGCCGATTTGGTTGATGCATGTCATTGCAGGTGAGGTGAAATGAGGTTTAACGTCAGGTCTAAGATTATTGCACTTATATAGCCATGTGCATGCATGTGTGTGTGTGTGCATGTGGCTGCTTGTACTAGTCCGAACTGATGCCGATTTATAGTGCTAGCACAGGGAGATACCATACCGCAGTTTCACATAAATACCCCAATCAGACACAGTATACGGACTCCGAGCCGACCAGTCCTTGTCTAAGCCCCTTAATGCCCAGCGCCAGACAGGGTAACAAGAAGTACCATCTTTTAATGTCTTTTAGTAAGACGCGGCCGGGGATCAAACCGCGGACCTTACGCTCTCTGGGCGGATGCTCTACCACTAGACAGCGAAGGCAGTTAGTGGTTATGTAGTAAACAAGCTGATTAAACGTCACTGCACACTGGTCATGTGGATTGTTGCTCATGCTATCAACAGCTGGTTTGCATCGACCAGGCTCATTTACAGGTTGCCATAGTGATATAGCTTGAAAAATGCTGCTTGTTGCTCAAAACAACATTCACCCAATTATTCATTCTTCACTGAAGTTGAATGTCAACATAGTAGAACTGCAGACATATCTTTGCAGAGGAATTCGATGAGAACACACGAAAACCAGTACACCAGCCAGAACAGTGGGTCTGAATTGTTTATTTACAAAAATTCAAGACGAAGACACAAGTTAATTTAACAGAAATACACACTTTCACAACTTGCAGTTAAACAAATATTGATATCACACAAAGGCATCCACATAAGTGTACGTTTTAGTGCTTTTCATCCATCTAATGAAAATTGGTTTCACAGAGAAATTTCATTTTTTTAATTATTTGCATCGAATGAATACTTAAGTGATGGCAAATTGACATAACTAGACATGCATGACATCTACAAACAGACTTCTTTTATACCGCTACAAATTGTTATACGTTCAAAAATAATTCAAGATTGGATTCAATGTTCAATTTTATTGCACCTACCCAAACAATAAGGATATACAAGAACATAGATAATTCATGAAGACTTGATGACCATGCAATAGTCTACCACGGATACATGTTATGCATATCATACCCATGGAGATCAGGGTAAAATGTCTTCAGGAACCCATGCTTGCCGTAAAATTTGACTATGCTTGTCGTAAGAGGCAACTAATGGGATGGGGCGGCCAGGCTTGCTGACCTGGTTGATGCATGTCTATCGTATCCCAATTGCATGGATCAATGCTCATGATGTCAATCACTGGATTGTTTGGTCCAGACTTAATTATTTACAGAAACTGTTCTGTCGACTAAATCAGTACACCTTCAGTTTGTGTATCCTTATTCCTTTGATACTTAGCTTGATTTGTACAAGGAATGTCCACAAACCAATAAAAAAAATATGTGCAAATCAAGAAAATATGCCACAGACCCTAGAATCTGCTACAGTGTCGCCAGACGATCTCAGTCCTACCTTATCTTCAAGGAACTAGCATGTTGGTCAGACTAGCTTCAACCCTCAAGACATACATTTGACTTATATGCAGTTGAGAAGTTTTCTAAATAGTTTGCTCTGATGTCCTATCGTACACAATGCACAGATTTACACATAGCATTCACAGACAGTTATATAGTGGTAAACAATGGTCACTGGTTTACACATAGCATTCACAGACAGTTATATAGGGGTAACCAATGGTCACTGGTCCGGTTTGTTTTGTTGAAACTGTACTGAGTAAGAACCAGACGTTGGATCTTGCTGAAGGTTGAAATTTTCTGTAGACATACCGAATGGTTTCAAAATCATGTTGCCTAAGTCTTTCAACTTTCCTGAAATGATAAAAAATAATAATGTCAAGCTCATTTGAGAGTGTCCCAAACTTCCAACAACTGAATCGAGAGTGTCCCAAACTTCCAACAACTGAATCCAGTCATTATCTAAAATTGGATGCCTGTAAGTCGAGGTTTTCAACTTCTACAAAATACAGCCGTCCCAAGACATTCTACATATTCACTTTGCCTGCACAAATGAATGTCTAGATAGCTGATCATCATAGTGAGAATGGTCGTACAGAGCTGTCACGATGTTCCCAAACCCTGAATGGGCTGCTCCCACTGAGGGGAATTAGCATGGGTTGTATGGGTGACACTATTGTCCCACCGGGAATGTGCTGCACTAACAGCAGTTCATACAAGTATCACAACTCAATGACACCGACTGCTAGTAATATACTATATATATATTATATAGTAATATACTGCCATAATATTATTATTATTATTATTTTCCCGGTGTATATATGACACAAATATATTTAAAGAAGTAGACTCAAATAAAATTATTAACCCAGTCCCATGAACTGCCCATTTGAGTGAACAATGGAATTGACATATGTTTATACAATATTGCATCTGTTACAAAAATATCCTACAACATGATTGTCATAAGTAACATTGAAAAATCACTCATATTAACATACCCAACATTTCTGTCTTGAGCTTTTCATTTCTCTCCTTTATTTGGTCAGCTAGTCTCTGAAAGAAAATAATAGAGAAGTAATGTAGAATGTACAGATGAATAGGTCTACCAAATAGACTGGAAAGTGGTCAATGACATTTTTGAAGAAACAATGCCAACAATTCCCTACATAGAAACATTATCTCCCAGATCACATTCTTTAATGTATTTCTTGAAAAAGCATGTAATACTCGTATCCCCCGCCAATATGACATGTCCGGTTGTGTGCAAGGCAAGAAATATTTACGGTTTTCAAGATATGCTCTGGAAACCAGCACTACCGCCATATTCAGTCTAAGTCAAAATCGTTGCCATGGAAACTTAAAAAATACATTTTTCAAAATTACCAAACTATCAAGAGGCATTAGACCAATCTATGTGCCAAGTTTGGTGAAGAATAATCGCATGGACCTCAAGATCATTAATGCCATTTTCAGTCTAAGTCAAAGTCCTTGCGATGGAAACTTGAAAAGTATTTTTTTTTTAAAATCCCAATCTATGAAAAGGCACCAGTTCACCACTAGACCTATCTATGTGCCAAGTTTGGTTAAGATATCTCTCATGGTTTTTGAGATCTGCTCTGGAAACGAAACGTGATGGACGGATGGAAGGACAGCACACATTCCTTTATCCCACTTTGTGGCAGGGATAACAATGTGAAGGGTCTTCCTGCTTCTCATTTAAGATGGTATCAAAATTCATGTCCCCTTTGGCTTTTGACTTGGTCAAGCATCCATTGCACAAATATTGTAGGATTCCTGCACTCAGAAACACTAAACAACCAGACTTACAACAGCGGAATGTCTAGCAGCATGCTGGGAAGGATCCAATTCTACAGCCTTCTGATAGTCGGCCAGAGCCTCGTCCAATTTATCTGTCCTCTCGTACAGCTCGGCTCTCCGCAACAAAGCCTTCATGTAGTGGGGATGCAGCTCCAGTGCTTTGCTGCAGCTCTTGATGGCATCTTTATTGTCATCCTTGAAACAGTGTTATAAAACATGAATATAGTACCCATAAGAGTCACTAAATGTTGTTTCACGAAACGTTATTCATTAGTGAGTATATGAATGTAATCTATCTGTTACAATTACACTATTTAAAGGACAGCAGACTGTTATTGAGCAGTTGTTTGTACCATGATCAGACGAAGCTGTACGGTCAAAAAATTGTATTGTGAGAAATTTGGGCCATGACAAATCAGTCATTTTTTCTACAGCAACTTAATGCCAGATAAAAAAGTTTGTTTATTGTTCATCAGCTTAAACCATATATTTTTCAGTTTATTTTATCACATTAGAAGATTGATTCTGTGAGTGAGTGAGTTAGTGAGTATGGTTTTACATATCTTTTAGCAATATTGCAGCAATATCAAGGCAAGAGACACCAGAAATGGGCTTCACACATTGTACCCATGTCGGGAATCGAACCCAGGTCTTTGGCGTGACAAGCAAACGCTTTAACCACTAGGCTACCCAACCGCAACTTCACATTGTGTTATTTTAATATTTAACTTTGATTCCTACACATGATGCAAGAACACTTATTACATGAAATACAGAAACAAATGTTTTCTACATTTCATTTCAAATTCACCACAATTGCTGCCCCCAAAGATCTGTGAAGGATCAAGAGTGACAGTTAACACACATCAACAAAGTGTCTAAAATAATGACGATGGCCAAACATACATTTAAACTTACTGCACTGAGAAACTCATACAAGTTTTAGCAGGACAATATTTGCTATTTGTTTGAGCCTGTAAATAATCAAGTCTGGGCCAAGCAAACCAGTTGATAGCTGAACAACAATCAATGCTGTCGTGTCATGATGTTATGCTATCATTCAAGTCCACAATGGAACCACTGATCAGACAGGGTGAAACGATACAGCAGGGTCACAATACGATATGTATATTTAGTCAAAGTGTGTGGAAACTTCTTACAATAATATTTCAGAGCAGGTTCAAAAGGAAAAACAAGCTGTAAACACATGTTTGTAGTGGCTATTATAAGAAGTGAACTTGATACGCTAATTACAACATTTTTGCGATATTTGACTGTCAAAACTGAGCAGTAAGTAATTTATTTTAGCAAGTTTATCGTCTTGTATCTATACAGAATATTTTTTGTGTGTATCATATCGTATCACAATGTACCAGTGCACCGATGTATCATTTCCTCCGTACTGATCAGCATTAGTGGACTCTTATCTGGATACCTTCTACAAGGAACAGAGTTTACCCCCAGAATCCTAAATAGTGAAGAAAGACAATGTATTTTCACCAGTTTCATTTGACAGGCGGCCTTGTTGGAGAACATGATGGATCTCTCTCTAGGGAAGGACAGGGGGCAGATGTGTAGAGCCTCGGTGTACAGCCGAATGGCCTCCTTGTAGCTTCCCTCACGGAACGCCTGATTCCCCTTCTCCTTCCCCTCCTGGGCCTGGTCCTTTCGTTCCTGAAACAGATGATTTGGGTGGTTGGTTTGTTGCTTAACGCCGCACTCAGCAATACTACAGCTATATGACGGCGGTCTGTAAGTAATGGATCAGGACCAGACAATCCAGTGATTGATATCATGAGTGTCGATCCACGCAATTTGGATCGATGACATGCTTCAACCAAGTCGAGCCTGACCACCCGATCCTGTTAGTTGCCTCTTACAACAAGCATGGATTGCTGAAGGCCTATTCTACCCCGGATCTTCACGGGTTGAAACAGATGAAAGAAGAGTAAGAAAATACAACAAACATGATTGTTTCCAACTGATTCCAATTAATACATGAACTGTCCCCTATAGAATCTATGCTGCTAGTGGATAATACATATATGTGGCCAGCTATGAGATGAAGGACCTTTCTGGGGAAAAATTACATTTTGACTTCTTATCATATTTTAAAACTACAGTATCTTAGGACCAAACTAATACAATTTATGAGTTTCAATTCACATTTATTACAGAAACACATGACATCAAACATTTGGACTCATTAAGTCCTATTTTAAGACTTATGTAATAATTGCAGTTTTTAGATATATTGTCTGATTAGTTGAAAGTAGACATGTATGCCGAAATGCTTTTAAATAATGGCTTTCTCACATTACAAACTATTGAGAAACAAATATGGCATTATTTTAAAGTCCGCTCACATGGCGATTTTTACGGAGGTAAGTTGACGTCAAAAGTCTTTCTTTATGATGTCACAGCACAATTGTATCCTAGCAACCATGAAACCCCTTTTCTCCAGGTAGGTCACATATGTCATCTATCAGCCTATAATACAATGTAATGCAGTTTAGATGCAATTCTTATATATTATCATGATTATGATATAGTCGAATAGTGATCTAATGATTCAAACAGACATACTTATTTGTGTACCCCAAAACTTGCAAGGTAAATTACTTGTGTCTATTCTCAACTTGTATGCATATATAGAATGCAATATTTTGCATCCAGTAAAATCCTGCAGCTACAAAAACAACCTGACCATGTGTTAGTTTGTCTCCACCAGCGACATGGTCATGATAAAATTGGAGACTGTTGTTACCAAGAAAGGTGAGGTGAGGTGAAATTGGGTTTAACGTCGCGTCCAAGATTATTGCACTTATATAGCGACGTGCATGCATCCGTGTGTGTGTGTGTGTGTCTGATTGTACTAGTCCGGACTGATGCCGATTTATAGTGCTAGCTCACTGAGATACCATGCCGCAGTTTTACAAGAATACCCCACTCAGACACAGTATACTGACTCCGAGCTGACCAGTCTTTGTTTTAGCCCCTTATTGCCGAGCGCCAGACAGGGTAACAACAAGTACCATATTTTAACGTCTTTTGGTATGATGCGGCCGGGAATCGAACCCCGGACCTTCCGCTCTCCGGGCGGACGCTCTACCACAAGACCATGGAGGCGGTCAAGAAAGAGTCAAATAATGATCATTACCAATTTCTCATCATCTGAAAGACTTTCTTCCACTTTCTTCCTATGTTCTTCATCGTCAGCTTCTTTCTTATCCTTTTCTTCATCGAGCTCCTCTTCTTCACGTCCATTTCCCCCACCCTCGGCACCTTCACTGTCAGTCTTTCCATCCCCAGCCCCTCTCTCTCCACCCTCATCAACAGCAATGTTTGCCCCACCACAACACACATCGTCAAATTCTACATCACTCCCATCATCAGCAGACATAAATTCATCATCGCTTTCTAGTCGCTGTTCGGAGAGTCTATCAGAAACTTCAGCTACAGTGGCGCCCCCTGTCCTTTTACACACTTCTCCACTCTCTTCAACCGGAGTTCCAATTCCATCCGAGTTCCCATGAATGTCAATAAATTCCTGTATTCTTGGTTTATTTTGGGTGTTTGTGTCCCCTTGCGCGGACAGATCCGGGGAATCATTTGCATCATCTTCACAGCACTGTCCTCCTTCTGCCTCCACACATGAATCAGTCAGTGAGGTCTCAACTTCATCTCCTTTCTCTTTCGACATGATATCAAATCTGTAATAGAAAGAGTCTACATTAAATGGAAAATTTAGAACTGAATATGTTTGTGTGAACAGATATTATCAATGTAAATATAAGTACAGGCTGTACTGCAATTTGCCGGCCTCTCTATTTTCGATTTTAGAGGATTGAACCATGATAGGCTAATGAGCGCATCTAATTAGCCAACACTTTACATGAGACCATGGGTGCTATTACAAATAATTAGTGCTCACTTATCTAGTGTTCTGCACCGGATCGTTTATCTTAATGTGCATGCGCAGCAGCCATTTTTCAGTACAAAACTTAACCTACCGTATTCGACGTAATAAGGGCCCCGCTCTATTAAGCGCCCACAGCGATATTTGCTAATATACTGGCTAGTGAACAATCCCAATTAGTACCCCTTCCGATTGATCAATGTACACAAGACTTATTTATTCGCGTATAATACGCACTCGTGTGGTATATGCATTCTTAATTATGGGCAATTAAATTCTGGAAAAATATATCTGTCGCATATTACATTTCAGTCTGTCAGCATAAACCACGAAATTTGTCTTTCAACTGTTTTTTCCACCAAAATAATATTCTAATAAGAGCCCCCTATTTCTAATTTTGAGAGCGCCCTGGGCGCTTATTACGTCGAATACGGTATTCCATAAATTTAACAGATTTTCCAAAAATTATATTCTACGAATTTCATGACAAAAGGTGAGAAAGCTAACCCATAACCTCACAACAAAGCCTATGGGTCGTAAAGGGGTGTTTGATCAGTTAAGAAATCGGAAAGGGGATCTAAGGGCTAAGGATAGAGTTGGGGGTAACCTACCCCAACTTCATCTTTAAAGGATCAAAAGAACAAGCAAGCTCAGTGAAGCAAGAGCTACAGTCTGACATCTTGCCTAAAACAAAATGTGACCAATTGGGGAGGCAAATCTCTCCACTCATACTACGTAAGCACAACACAAGATAATCTCCAGTTCACAGCATATTCAGTAAATTTCAATGTGGTGAGGCACATGGAGCAGTCTCCCAATCTAACAGTTCACTCTCTCTGCTCACACACACACTCTCTCACTGCAGCACTTGACGGGTATTTCTTACTTTACCCACAAACACTAGGGACATAGAGACTTTAACCAAACACAATGACTTCTGAAAGTAATAATAATGTAGTTGTAGATGTTCCCATAGTATGGTTTACTAAGCCATAGCTGTCAACTCCTGGATGTCTAAATGAATGAGAAGTCCCCCCCCCCCCGCAAAAACTGGTTTTGAATGATTTTAAGACCATCTTAATGGCCTTAGAGAGCATGTATTCTGAAAAAATATATTTGTATCTACATTTTCCAACCTTGCGTGTGAGCGTGACATAGGTGATAAATGCGCGAGACTCACACGAGATGCGTGAGAGTTGACAGGTATGACTAAGCTAATATAATATCACCTGGCCACACATATTTGGCTTGCAATTCATCTGCCAAACTGGATTAAGCACATTTTATTGAGTTTAATTTATCTCTGGACATGGCCTGGGTGTTAACTTTTCATTCCATATAGAAATGAAGAGAAAATGGTTTCTTTTCTTATCCCGGGCGTCAATTGCAATGATTTTGTGAAGTGACTGATGTAATAATGGAAAAGAGTTGTACAGTGACTGCCACAAAAATGAAAGTCATTGACAAAGTAACTGAAGAAAGTAGGCACCTAGACCCTATTTCCACAACATTTCCATTTCTTAGACTGCTTTGACTACCAATACAGGATACTGACGATGAATAGTTGCCCATCATAGAATAAAAAGAAAACATTTTTATTTCAATGTGTTATTTGCCAGATTATGACATCATTATGATTATTGAAATAGTTACTGACATTTTTCCACACTTTCACACAACGTAAATTCGACGAATATTCCGGGGCTTTTCACTTCAGTCCACTTCAGATATATTCAGGCTGCTCAACAAACCATTTTATATCTTAAAATATTTTTACTATACTTGTCCAAACAAATAAGAAATATATATTTAAATGTCTTTAAAATATAAATTATAATGTCTCAAAGGTACACATGAGCATTTTCAATACACATCCAGAAAATATTAATGATTTCTCTACATTCCTTAACTTCAATATATTATTAGTATTACGACAAGTATGATCTAACCGGAAACGGAAACAAGTGCAAGAAGCGCCCTCTACTCAAAAAGCGTGCGTTCTCCAAACGTGAAAACACGACACAAAAGTAAAGAGCACAAGTTGGATTTCTGTACCTATAAAGTGCATCAGCCATGGCGGATGCTGCGGCTCGATCGCTTCAGTATGAATACAAAGCTGTAAGTTTTTAGATACAATGAATTAGTCGATTAAAAAACATTAATGCACGAACCGGCGATTCATACGAAGCCTAGGAACGACCTCAGTTTTCGTGCAATACGTAAAATGATTTCATTATGCTATGCTTTTGATGATCAAATAGTATGCGTTTGACGTCCAGAGTCTGATAAGTGTAATACATTATTCTTTGTTCCGGTGTGGTTAGTTAACCATCGGTGAAGTAATAATCTAAATTTATTAATACATCCCTTGCATGGAGTCGGTTTATATATTCTTTATTAGGCCTACAATGCTCATGATACAGATGATGACAACTGCTTCACAACTGTGCCTTGTCGACATGTTCAAGCAGTTCTTGGTGCTAGTTACTTATAATGTTCTCATATCATTGCACCAATGTCCAATTCTAAACCCTATTGCCTACTTGTATATCGGAATTCCCTTTCATTCACGGCTCTGTTTTACTGGTAGTGTTTCGATCACCATCACCCCTTTTGATTTGTTAGGACCTAACTTAGTGTTTTTGGGAGGAGTGCACTCTGCCAGGCACACTTTTTTTGGATATCAAAGAGCGCCATGTGGACTCAAGCAGCTTGAAGCTTGATATGGAGTTAATCTGGTTATTTAGCCAACACTTTACCATGAGACCACAGACGTTATCGCAGATAATTAGTGCTAGTTTACCAAGTGTCAAATTTTTCTCAGATTACCTGGAATTAATTCATTAAAAAGAGACAACTAACACATACCCTACCTAATAACTATAACCTAAGGGTGGTAAAGGATGCCAAACCCTAAGGATTGTAAAGAGGTGTCTGACTGGCAAGTGGTGACCAACCGTAAGGATTGTGAAGGGTTGTTCGATCAGAAAGGGGTACCTAACCCAGCCCTTATGATTGAAAGTAGATCCGAGGGCTAAGGATAGAGTTGGGGATAACCTACCCTAACTCAGCTAACCCCAAGAATTGAAGAGGCATGCAAGATCTGTGAAGCAGAACCACGGCCAGCATTCTGAGCCAGTTAGCGCTATAGACATGATAGAAGCTGTGCTATTTGTGGACAAAACATTACTCAACATATACAAAAGTGAATGAAATGTCATTCCCCATATACCATGATATACATGTATATATCAATCACTGTTTTCTGTTTTACTTACTTTGAAATTCCTTTCAGCTCGTGCAATCTTAGAAGTATAGTAGACATGAAGAATATTTATGTCCATGTCAGCATGACCAGTTACAGTGTATCATTTTGGGTATGAATTTTTTCCAGAACTCCAACCTTGTATTGCAAGTTGATCGTTCTCTCATTGACCGAAGAGCTCGAGATGAATCAACTGGTGAAGTTATGTCCCTTGTGGGAAAGATCACAGGGACAAGAATGGGAGACAGGGCCCAGAAAACTAAACCACCACAGATGGAGGAAAGAAAAAACAAGTAAGACTCTGAAACTTAAGTGTCCATATAAAGGGCAAGTAAAATGAAAAAGATAAACATGATAAACAGAAACCAGTTGTAACCTCCAATAGGGAGATTCCCTGCCGTAGAGGAATTTTTCTTTGATGGATCAATTTTTTTCTGTCCCTTTTTTTGTGATAAATTTACGCTATTTCTATTTTTTTAAAAATAATTTTGATCAGCATTTGTGATTAGTATGATCTTAAGTATTTATATCTGCAAAGCTGCTACAATGACTTCACATGCCCTTTAAGGGATGAATGTGCTGTGTTTTTGATGTATTGCCAGGTTACCCATATATTCAACCATGCTAATTTGAATTTGGAACCAAATGTGAAGCTCTTGTGAAGCGGCATTATTGGAGTTCAATATTTTGTTTATTGTGTTTAAAGAAACACTGCATGGCGCTGGAATGCTCAAACATCATTATCCTTTATTTGCATATATTTCATTGGAAGAAAATTGAAAGATACCATGCTAAAAATAGCTGTCCAATCAAATAACTCATTCTATATATCCTATGTCCCACTATGCATTTCATCTTTCTTCTTTCAATCCTATGTGGAAACGTGCTTAAACAAATCTTACGTGAAAATCCTTCAACAAGTGCCACATACGGGAAATTGAACAGTCCTTGAAATTTAGGTACTCGCAAAAGCATGGGTCGTCTTCCGCTAATATGTCGACCAACCCAGTTGTCTCTACCTCCGGAATCCTCTTTGCAAGCTCTATCACTGGCATCTCAGACAGTTTTCCTTCAGATGGCATTCCTACTGTGTCAGTTCAACAATCCATTCCTGATGCGTATGTCTACATCGGAACCGCCAGCTATGTCGAATGTTCGCAAGGTTCTGTCTTCCTCGGGTCGACTTCTTAGGGCTCTTAGATCACCCGCTACCAGTCGTCTTTTTGTCTCCCACTCCTTTGAACGAAGTTCTGGCCGATGGCGATTGCTCCACTTCGTCCAAAGATACTGGTGTTCCTCCATCGACGATGACGAATAAGGCTTCCCCTGGAACTGGTAGAACGGGTTTACAATCTCCTAAGGATCCATGTAGGAAAGGCTGATCTTGCACTTCTTCTACAGGTTGCCGTTCAAAGAATAGTCAATCACACGATTGGCGCTCAAAGGATTGCTTATCTTGAGATCGACTGCCTCATGATTAGGGGATCGACCTTCTAGAGATCTACACTCTCGCAAGGACACTACCAATTGCTCATGTACCACTCCTGTTCAACATTACTCTCAGGATGACTATTAAACAGACCTCAAATAAGAGTTCTTTTACTTTTGGACGTCCCTGTCCTCCAGTTACACAGATCAATGTCATCCACGGGGTCGTTCATGCACCTATGAATATCATCATTTTCGACTAGACTTTCCCACTTGGGATGACTTTCGGTACAGCAATTACGGAGACCAACCACATGGCTGGAAGAGCTACACCCCGCACTTGGTTACCCATATGCTTCATCTTATCTTAACTTCCACACCTGTGCTGATTACTATTGCTCACAGCATCAGGATCAGCCCTTTGATCACCATCGCTGTGATGATGGTGTTTGTCTCCAATGACCAATGTGTGTATTGTCGTTCTCCAAGCCGTTCCCTGTCATCATCTCAGCCTGTGGTTCAGATACCTCCTTCCTCATCTGTGCTGACTCCTGTGGTGCTTCTTCCATCCGTGCAGCTGCTGCTTATCTCATGGGACCATTGTGTCCAGGCTAATGATCAGGCACCGGCTCTTACACAGACCGCTTCTCTTAGCTCAGTTCTTCTTGGTGTGGATCCTTCCCCACCTTGTCTTCTGGGAGTTTTGAGAATTCTGAATGGCGTTTCCCCCGATGATCTTCCAGTTGATCTGTCAACTTTACCCAAGCTCAGATGTTGACCTGTTCACAACCAGGTTCACCGCTCTGCTCTCCCGGTACACCTGTCCCATCCCAGATCCTCAACTATGGGACCACAATGTTCTGGTGAACTCATTGCTACTACAATTGGATTGACTATACTTATAGTTTCTGAGCTTGAGTCCCCCATTCTGTCGTATGTTTCTGGCTACCTACTTGGGATCTTAACGTCATCCTCCTTCGTTTGACTTTGGAAGAGTATGAACTGTTTGCTGACAAGGAGTTTGAGTTGATCCTGGCCCTTGTGACTGATGCACAAGTTAGTGAAGACCATGCTCTGACTCTGAATGTTCGAGAAATTTCAGAATGGGAAGGTTTTCTGGGCCTTTGCTGGGATTTTATCGTGAAAAACCAGTTCGGTCCCTTTGTGCTGGCACAGCAGCTGTCAACTGCACACCATCCCAGGTAGTCGATAAGTGTCCCAAGGCCTGTTCTTTCTTACAAAGCATCATGCATATATACCATGATATACAGAATAGATCTTGGAACTTTAGCTCTTGTGGTTATTGTCTTTTTGTTTGTCAGCCTCCCAGACTGAGTACCCAATCAGAGGGTCTTCAACATCGATGTCGCCGCAAGTCGCGCCCATTTAACCCTCACGCCTCTGCTTTGTGCATGTGCTGCCTGATATTGGCTTGAAGAACCTCTTCTGGATATTGTCGGTCATTCTTCATCTGGTCCAACATGCTTCAATCCGCCAGGTGTGATTGATAGCTCTGATGATTCGTTAATAGAGATTCCGAGCAGGTGCACCCTATTGTCTAGCGAGATAGTGCTGTATCCTGTCTTGTAGGATCGATTGACTGGAGATCCCTTCTGGATCGATTATAAGTTGAATGCTGTATAGATTGTTCTAACAGATACATAGTTGTTCATTTAATGATGTCCCACATGAAAACACAAAACACGTTTCATTTCCAACTGCATGCTGTTATGTCTGACTTCCATTTGTTTGGGTGGTCACCATGGTGATGCTGGTATGTGTTCATGTGATTTGTATTTTAGAAGCTGGAAACTTATAGATTCCACATTGGATCGAAAGAAGAGTGTGAGATAGGATAAGTATATCAATATACAATTTAACTTTTGACCACTTGTGAAGTTTGATAATGATATTGTGAGCTAACGAATAATCAATGATTTGTTGTTGGTAGAATATTGCAGCGGCATGGTTTCAGTTTGAGACTTCAGCCACTGGTCTGAAGTCTGGGTCTAATATGAGATGTATTTCTGTTTTGTAATATTAGGTCTTCAGTGTGTTAAAGTTGTAAATGTTCAGATAATCATGAACTGAATCAGAACTGCAGCACATATTGTAGTA